TACCCGTGTGCATCAATTGCGGGCGAGTTAAGGGCAACTTGACCGATATAGTGTGGATGAAGCGAGCAACTTTCACTGAACGAGCGTTCCGATCGACATCGGATACCAACCCGACATAGGCACAGCATGACGGCCATGCACGGCACTTTGACCCTGTTCAGACAGGAGTCTAAGTGCCCGGGTTCTGATCAGCGCTCCTTCGAACCCTGGCAGTCGGCGTGTATATCTTGATGGCGCAATCACGTCCCTCAGAACAAGTTTAAGAAGGGACCAGGAACCAGGGACTGACAGCGCGGCATCGAACAAAGCTTGGCTCTAGCCACCGTTGGCCCACTGCCGTCGTATTAGTGTCCGCAGCCACGTGCCAGGTCTGTGCAGCTCGCCCACACATATGTATAATTGACTCACATATTACAGTGCCGGTCAAGGGATGACTAAATTCCCCAAAAAAAATGCATGTTAGAACTCGAGAGCTTTTTTTGGCTGTTACTAGCGATATGCCGTACCAATAACCATGTTTGCTTCTCATAAAAGTGACATTTTACAGAGTGTTTTATAAAGTATCTCCATTGGCAGTAGCAATGAAGACCGGACACTTCCGGCATTCTTTGAAGTTGTTGCCACGGCCCTGTTTTGGAAGTAAACGCTCAACGAACTCGGGTCGTTATGAGCCTAGATTTGATGAATCAAGGTCAGTGCACCGACGCTCTCGTGCAAGGATTGAGTCAGGGTGTTGCGCTATCAGGACCACAGGCCGCCACAGGCGGGAAGAGGAACGTGTTGACAGGAAATGTGGAGCATAATCAGCTATAAAAGTGGAGATCTTAGCTCAGAGAGCGGGATGAGACCGATCATACTTACTGTGTACAAAGGTACGCTAGAGATGCACACAGCTTCACCACTTATCATGGATGCACGCATGTCCAGATGCATATAAAGTTCCGAGATCAGGATATGCTGTACTGAACGTGAGGAATGTTTTCGACGGGAACATTACATACCATGAACGCGTCTACTTGGCAACAGAGTGTGTTTCATCGCGAATGGCTAGCGAAAAGAATTGTATCGCCCAATTTCATGCAAGTCGCGCTCCATTCAAGGCCGTACAACGTTGCGAGAGACAATGAACGCATACTTAGGACAAGCCACCCGCTATCGTCGCCACAGTTGCGTCTTGACTTAGGAAAGCGTTTAAGGACATTGCACCGATAGGGTTTGGCAATGACTCATTTGGTGACGCTTCTAGCCTTCATGCGGATACAAGACGGGAGACCAGGAGTAGATAAGGGCCAATAAGGACTCAAGAGAGAAACAGGCATGGGATAAAAGGTGGCAAAGGGTGTTAGTCTCCTCGTATCCAGTAGTGGAGATACTGGCAGCGAATCAAAGTATTTGTTTCAGTCCAACCCGTCATTTTAGCAATCGCAATAACAGTAGATCTTGCGAAAGTTTTGAGCAGCTGGACTCTCAAGTACTACTGAGATCGAAGGGCTGCTTAGCAAGGACATAGGCTGAAGCTGCCCGTGTGAAAGAGTAAATTCATTAATTCGAGAGAGTGATAAATCCCTTGCTAGATACCCAAATGATTTTTTGCGGACGTATTTTTTTACATGTAAGATTGCTTGTGCATGCATAATTTGGTTTCAGCTGGTGGGTTGTCAGTAACTAGGCAGGACGTACGTCTGCGGACAGAAGCATTCTCAGAACAGAATTGAAAGTGATCCTTCTACCCCAACACCCCCTACACCTCTTTTTGAATTTGGATCCCACAAGCTGACTGTCATCGTGGCTCGCTTTGTAATAGAGCCATGCACTTGTGACGAAGCCCCGCATAGAGGCAATCCAAGACACCAGCCTCCAGCCCATTCTCCGGAACACGAGGTCGAATTATGGAAGGGCTGGGAAAATTTGTGTGGGGACGAACGTGCTCTTCGTACTCGTTTGCATCATTCCCCATCACGACTATGATCTTCAGGTCTTGATCTCCGGATCTTCTGCACTCGACGCTTGACATGCGCGACAAACGCTCGCTTTGTTTTGGGACGCATCATTTGTGTCTAGGTTGGTGACGGTCACAATCGGCGAGGCCAGCCACAACTCATCAGTTTGTCAACATCCTGGAGACATATAATTTGGTGCTCTGCCGTATATGCATAATACTTCCCCTATCTGGGATAGTGAATCGTAAAAACCGGCTTCACTCTCTCCAGCTGCCCCAACCTATTTTTCATCTCCCCTGCCCGCGAATGAGCCTTTGACTATCAAGCTGCACTCGAGTCGCTTGCAACATCACTACCTGAAGTTCGGAGTTGTCTACCGTGAACCTGCCGAGATTGCCTCAACTGAGGTAGACCCTGGCCCACGCTAGTCCTATTTGCTAGCTGCCAACAATGCGCAACGATACAAGAATGACCATTCTTGTTTCAGACGAGCCGAAAGAAGCGGTACTTTGGTGGCGGACTGGACGTCAGGAACTGCTTGCTGCATGAACGAAGTTGCTGTAGTGGGCGATCTCGGGGCCAAAAGCGAATCAGTGTTTATTTCCTGGGACATTTACAGAGACATCGCAAAGCTCGGTTCGACACGCGGCAGAGAGCTAAGCTTTCCCCAACCGCCGTTGGGCGGCTGGAACGAAACTAACTACCACGCCGTACTTCAAGATATGCATCATTTCTTCGTTTACACTGCTCTCGTCGGACGCGGCCATGACTTTTTCAATGACGTCCAATGCGTACTGCTTCTTTTGTATGGAAGCATAGGCACAACACGGTCACCCTGCAGCTTCTCAACGAACTAAAGATAGTCTGAAAAAATAATTCAAGACCTTGGCTGTCTCTGCAATTTACCATAATAGTGCAAGTTACTCTTCAATGTCTAGACTCCTTAGAGCGGGCTCAGCACAATCCTCAGCGATCGAGTATACATTGTTGATCATGACTGCCCTGTACAATGGTTACAAGTCATCCACCAGCAACATACATTCACTCGCCATGTGTAGCGCATGATCTGGAGTATCTATGCATCACGCTCTATATATCCGTCACCACAATTAACTTTCTGTTCAGGTAACCTAAGAGCGGTACTTAAGCGGCGAAAATCGAGTGGAGCAGCCGCCACCAAGTCTGCGTTTTAGCTGGATGCAGGATGACTTTTCTGCTGGAGGGGACGGACCCGCTTAGTGATCACCGTCTCTACCTTAATGTTCACGAATCAGGGTAAAGAGCGAGCTGTCTGGGGTCTGGATCGTGCAGGAACCGAGGACGCACGTGCAAAGCCGAGCAAACGCCCAGGGGTGGCCTCAAATCCTTGCCTTGGTTGGACGCGTGTACGGTACATCGCTGATGATGGCAATAAAGTCCCTGAGGAAACTATAGCGCACTGTTTTATTGCGGGGAAAAGACGTCGCGCAAGGGGCGCGGCATGACAGTGGCACAAACCAAGTAACGAATCACACCAGTAAGCTGGCCACCTGAAAACCTACCAAAAATCACGAAAATTGCACTTTGGTACTTAATGGCAAGAGCCTTATAACTCTTAAAGAACTAGAGAGTAGCTTTCTATATAGTCTTCTTATGCACACAATAATATACAAATATATTTACCAAATAGGTGTCTGAATTCTGTATAATAGCGTAAATTGAGGAGCTAGAAGTGTTATAAGAGCAAAATCTTACTCTCCTGCCTTAGTGGTCTAGAATAATACTCACTCTAGTGCAAGAAATCTAATAACAAAGTTGTACGACTATAAATCTGCCCTGTGTTGAGATATCAAAGTGCTGTTTTCGTGATTTTGGTGGGTTTCCAGGTGACCAGCGTACTGGTGTGATACGTTACTTTGAAGGACGGAGTAGCGTGTAAGAGACGTCGCTGACGTGCATGCAGTTGGACAGTATCACCAAGGGAGTCTGAAATTGCGGCGATAACTTCACGTATAACGACTATGCTTGGGACTGAGGATGGGTATCTTGCATGCAAGCGCATTTGTTGAGCTGTCATGCTCGTTCTCCGGGCTTCTAATTATTCTCTATCTAGACCAGCTACAGGCAGTATGTCTTTGCTATGTACATCTGCTGCGTGAAGGCTTCATCTGATGATCGCAAACACAGTGTGCTTTTCAGCTATATCCTGGCCCAAGGCAAGGGAATTTTGCTTGAAGAGATTGACTATCTTGTTCACATCATCTTACGTTTAGCGGGTTCGGTGATGTTGGGGCTGTTGCTGCCGACTTGCTCGGACGTGACACAAATATATTGGAGGATCAATTTTGGACTCGGCCATGGTAAGCTTGAGGTTACGACTGGGCCCGATATTATGTTGATGGCTGTCATGGTGCTTATGTGAAACATTTGACAATAGGCAATTAATTCTAATGCTACAATGTTGTATTTCCATTTCTCGAATATCCCTCAACGTATACTTGTTCAAGAAGTGTAGGGTAGAGGTGGAGTTCTCTTAGTATTTCTCGAGTAAGAGCTAGTTCTCTCTGCACGCCTATGCGATGCACCCAAATTATAACTGTTGAGGAGTATGTACTGCTATCCACAGCGTGTCTGTTCTAATTGTTCCTTCCGCTCCTCTCTCCTGCCTCAGTTAGATTCTGCAAGCTTGAAGTACTCCTGAAATTCTCGAGACATGAGGCATTGATGCAATGCTTTCATGGGAAATTATGTCTCAATTCGAGCATGACAGGATAAAGATCACGATATGCCATGAGCCCTATCTCGGATTCACCCATATCCGGTATGGTAAGAAGAGCACGTAAGGAGAAGTGGTCAAGATATGGGTTAGGACTAAATTGTCCCTCGCACGCGTGCAGGTCCGAATAAAATGCTTTGCCTATGAGCTTACCTTTCACTTTAGCTAGAGCAAGCTCATGTGCAAAGATTCTGCCTCACAGGCGGATGTGATACTGAAGTGGTGGTGCACCTGAGGGGTAGTAGGGTAAGGTGAAGAAGAAAGGCAAAAAAGAGCAAAAAAGAGGAAAAAAGAAACGTGTCATGTGATCTAACCAGGGGTCGAACCTGGAATCTCTTGATTACTCGAAAATCGTAGTCAAGCGCCTTGCCATTGGGCCATTAGACCAGTGGTACTAATTATGAGAGGGTACAGATTCCGTTGATATATATTGAGGACAATCTTGCAAGCTGCATTACACCTCTGAATATTTTTCCCAAGCTTAGGCCGCCGCGCTAAGGCTGGCCCACTGTTCCCCGCCATGTCAGCGGCAACTCGAATCATCACAGGCAATAAACACTGCACCTTGACAAAATGGCAAGCACAATTGCAGCGCAGCAAAGGCATTTCGCTTCGCTTCGTAGTGTTTATTCTGGGCTCATCACTTGAAGAAGTTCATGGGTCATATACTGTCGAGAACCAAACAAACATCCTGCCAACACAACACGGCTACCGAGATGCCTTCCACTACGCGGGAGCCGCGCGAATTCCACCCTCTGATCGCGCAGTACCCTGGTGACAGATTTGTCGTCGGAGGTGGCGTTGCCATCTTCCACCTTGCGAGCAGCAGAGTTGTAATTTGTAGCCATGTAGATCGTGGTACCAAGTACTATTTCCTACCAAAAGGGCGTCGCGATGCAGGCGAAGAGAGCGGACCAGGCGCAGAACGAGAAGGGTATGAAGAAGTATGTGCTCATATAGCCCTGCCTTCAAATAAGCTCACAGGAGTATTGTAGAGTGGCTACCGCAATCGTCTCCTTCCGCTCCCGACCGCGCATCGCCAACCACAAGCACATCCTCGCGTCCACGCGCCGCCCATGACCGCTGAACCTGTCTGGATGCAACTCATGCCGCTCGGTAGTCGACAGTACGTGATATATTGGTACGTCGCCGAGACCTTACCACCGGACCTCGAGGTAGAGCTGGAAACAGAAGCCGGCGCAGCATACAAGCCGCCCCCACGATATCCGCGCAACCTCACACTGCGCGACCGGATGGCGCTCGAGCCTGAGGGGTATGAGCCGCTGCATCACGAGGGCACTGGCGTGGATGAGATGGAGGTTACCTTCGAGAGTCATCTCGTTTCCGTGGAAGAGGCGGTATCGAAACTTGGCAGGAATGGCGTCATGGCTGATGTGGTGCTCAAAGGCTGGGAGGGGATACAGAATCGACTTGCGATAGAGGATTCGGCTACATCGACGAGTCCGGAGCCGATGGTGTGATAGGGAGCAGGTTGCAGTGGGATTTTGATTGTTGATGCAGGCAGCCACGTGTCGATCTAATTGACTTGTTTTGAGGTCACTTTAATATCGAGACTTTCGCTACCAGAGGAGATGGCGACGTGGATCGGAGTCACATGTACCTCTGGCGCCATCCTTTGCGGCAAGACACATCACGTCTTTGACCAAAAGCAATACTTCCAATACACCTCGACCACACACCTGATTTCCTTTGTACATTCCAGCCCAACATCTGCCTCTCCTTATCTATCGCACCTCGACTCAGCTCGGCCTAAGTCACACGTCCGATCGTAGTCTACGTACCAAGCCCGTCCTTCCAATAACCGTGCATGACGCTTATCCCAAACGCCACAGTATATACCGCGTGCTATTCATCAATGTACCCCACAACATCTAATCTACCACCTGCCCACCCCACAGACAATGTCTATGCGCTCGTTACCGATTTTTTCCTCATATATTGTATCGCCCACAGCCAGGAAAAGCCTGCTTTTTTGCTTGTGCGGCTCGGCAAAGCATGTGGGTGTGCACCGAGTACCACATGGGACGTGTACTGGTGCAAGTGCACCTCCGCATCATCTTTGGAAGCGTCAATATACCCATGTCTGAGTGCGTCCTGGTATCGGCCCGGCTGGATCTGATAAGTCTGGGGCGAGTGGTGCTTTGCAACTCGCATCGCTTAACACCTGGCAGGCAAGCTTGCATGGCGCTCTAGAACGTCGACCTACAGAAGGGTGAAAGCTGGATAAAAGCAGCCAGCAGCACGTAGGGTGGATGAAGAAATACGAAGGCGAAGAAGAAAAATATGCTGGTGCAGATCGGTGATGCGCGTAAAGGATCAAGGATTCAGTGTGTCTGCATGTGAAGAGGCCCAGATTATCTACGTGACTTGAGCCGGCGCCGACGTGGGTGGTGGATTTGGATTAGGATTAGTAGGCTGGAGAAACGAGCTCATTCTGGCCTTGAGTCTCTGGAGCAAGTGTCTTGTATGGACGGACTGCTGTGCGTCGTCACATGGATCAATCTACTTTACAACCTAGAACCCTCCAGCACATCTCCCGCACCGCACTGCACAACGCTCGCGCAGATACGGATTGAGGCGCCGCGGAGCGTCTGGCCGTCGGAGGTCTCGATTGCTCGGTTTGGGCGCGATGGGTAGAGATATGGATAAAGCAGAAAATATAAGATGTATGTCGTGCATCGTGGCTTCCTCGTTTCGGACTGGTGAGCTGGTAAGAAAGGCACGCGGAAGATGGGTGTGTAAGTGCTGACAGAGCGCTGACAAAACGGATGTTGGGCGGAGCAAACGAGATAGACTCGGAAGGACAGGATGGAGACGGAAGCAGGATGCGTTCGCACGCCTGGCGTGGAGCTCTGCGTTGTTTTGGCAGCTGTCGCTGCGTATCTTCTGCACAGGTGTGTGACAATGGCTAGTCTAAACAATCATGGCTCTGCGAATACTTGGGATACAGGTTTCGTACTTGGTGATGATGGAGACGACTTGAAATATCAGAGCAGAATCAATTATTCAACTTGTTTTTACAGTGTTGCTGCTCCTCAAGTACAAACCCCATGCATTATCTTCCACAACAGTGACCAAACTACCACGCGTCTTACCTTCTCATTCCCCTCTCGCCCTCTCAATTATCTCAGTGTCTCCCTATATCAAAATTCGAATGTTTCTCTTCACTGCACCTCGTCGAGACCGTTCATGCACCTTCGGATCTCCACCCTTCCTCCGAGATAATGATGTGCAAACATACCTGGACACTCGCAGCACGTAACGCAAGACACGCAACACAGTGCAGCCCGCACATCAGATGTAGCCAATGATGCCTGCGAGCGAGCAAGGACGGGACGGGATGGAAGACGGTGGTGCGTTGCATCTCAACAGCAGAACATAGAGGAGGGAGTGTACGTGTCAAGATGCGCAAGATGCGGACGAGAACTCTGGGCAATCGGGATCTCTCGATACTGAGCAAGCTTGTATTCCTTGAGTCGGAGTTTGGGTAGTGTGATAGCAGTGCGGCGCCAAACGCCTACATCCAAGTCACCAAGTGCTAGACCGCGGCTAGACCGCGAGTGAGACATAGCCATGTCCAACGGAAGGCTTAGCCACGCTTGATTCTGAGCGACTGCATCACGTGGGCAACAACTCTGTGTGAGGCAAGGTTATGGTTTGTATGAACATGTCCTTTATCTGCTACCGGTATATACACAAAACACATACCGTCTCACCCGGTGCACCACAAACGCCGCCTGAGTACCATCCAAGGATCGTTCTGGGAATATGATCGTTGCATTGCATATGCCTACCACGATCGAGCACTCTACCTAAGCGCTCATCAACCCAGTGGCTTTTTGTCTTCATGCCGCCAAATAAATGCAAGGGAGTGTAATGTAAGAGAGCACGACGTAGAGTCGCAACAAACAGCAAGAGGTAATGTATACAAGGAAGGTTTGAAAGATGTTCCCATTAGATCCAACACGATCGATCGACAAGATCTAGATGAGGCGGCAGGAGACGGCGAGACAGGAGACAGACAGACAGACGCTAAAGTCGACGTTGAGTCGTGACAGGTGGGTATACCAGATAGACACGCCGGAAAGGGAGCAGAAGTAGCAAGACGTTTACCACGAGAATGACTCCTCGCGGAAGTCGACGTTCCATTGCATTTCGCGATTTCGGACTGCGCGACGTAGCTCATCGGCAAGGCCACCGGTACCGCACGTGCTCACGCACGCGGCGCCGATGCCTTCTTGCATCTCTTGGTCGACAAGGCTCTGCACGTTGGGACGTCCAGGGAACATCTGGACGCTCGACGAGGGCGAGACGATCTCGCCTTGTCGTCGGGGGCGAGTGACAAAGAGCAAGATCTTGAGGATCTCGCGGCGACGAGGCATAGCCAGGATCTGTGTCATCCATGTTCGGATCCACTCAAGGTGCTCAGGCGATTGAATGATCCAAACAAGAGTAAGGCGGCGTGTTGCGACGGTGCCATTAGCGTACCCGGCGACAATGTCACGCACATGGGGCACTTGGTGGGTGATGCCGATACCAGCGGCCCACAGCATGACTGTGCCATAGGAACTAAGATCTTCACCACCTGTGTTACAACGTTAGCATGGGTATATGAATAGATTGAAAATCTCCGGCACTCACCATAGGGGCCCTCGACGAATGCCGATGTGGAGAATCGACCAGCTGCGGATAGATCTGCTTTGCGGAAGAGCTTGTCGGTGAACCCTGTTCGTCGTCGAATGATGAACGACATGCTGGTCTTGCTGTGCTCGAGAATATCTTGGCGGTTCATGGGTAGACCCTTTTCATCGCCGATCGAAGTCAAGCTGCCACTGGTCTCCTCCTCTTCGCTCCAGGCAACGGAGAATGGGTGGTTGGTCCAGAGTCCGATAGTTGGCATGTACAGGTAGGCGTGCTGTCCTGGACGGAAGGACCATGGGCGGGCCATGCGAACAGTGACACGAAGAGCGTCCCCAGGGAGGACCTCCACATCGGCCTGGGTGCCACCCTTGCCGACATTGCACATCACAAGGCGAGCGAAACGCCACGTGCGCTCCATGACCCAAACGGCAATGACACCATAAAGCATCAATTGCTGTTCACGCTTCTTCAGATGCACCCACACTGCGCCGAGTGCAAGGGCTGCACCAATGATGTGGCCGTGCAGGAACACCTCATAGAACGAGTGTCGTACAGGCGATGGGGACTGGATGAGGAGGAAGATAAAGGCACAAGTTCCCTGACTGGGTTAGCGCTCATCAAGACTCCTGGTGTCATGTACATACGATAGTTCCAGACATGATGAATGTGCTTCCGTTGATTGAAGCTTGTACGGCGCCCCAGCCCTCTGCAGCTTGTTAGTCATG